TCTGGAATCGATTAATTATTAAGACACCCAAACACACAGCAATACGTTCTTCTACGGTTATCAGACATTTTTTATTTCATTTAACAGTGCCGAAAAGTGATGCGCGCGCGAACCTCGTGCAGTGTTAGCCCTGCCTGGCGCACTGAGAAACGGGTCGAGATTTTGTTAAAGTGTGCGTGCGTCGACGCATAGATACTATGGCGCACACATATAAGCCGCGCGCGGAGCATTTGTATGAAGATAACCTACTTTGTTCTTTATACTATGGTATTATTAAATCTAGCGACTACTTACACCATATTAAACTTATACTAACGAATAAAGTAATCCAAACAATTACAGAGAAAAACAAACCTTGTATTAAATTTAATAAAATAAAGACCAAATAAATAGTATTATTATTATTATTGTCTATCTATAACATAAATTATATAACAGAATCTTTGTGAATTCACTCGGCTGACAGGTAAAAACATCTATTTGCTCGTGCACAAGATTTATATTACGGATAGCTTGCGTAACCGCGGCTTTCGCCAGTAAGTTCGTCCTAGCCACCGGCACCGCCAACAGAGGCGGGCGCCGCCGCCTCCTTACATAGTTGTCAGGTACCCACAAACTGATTCTTTGAAGAACATCTGGGTTATGTTCCATTCCCCGAATCAATTTCACCAAATAGGTGGTAAGAGCAAACTCTCGACGCACCTTCAATTGATTGTACCCGACCATACCCAGCACAAATAACGAGGGATACATCAACGGATACAACGGGTACACTCCATACAGCTTCCAATACAGGTGACGAGTGAATTTGTTCTGAACTCGTTCTAACATCAGAGAGTACTTATTTTCATGAGGCGCCCATATCATTGCGCTGTGCTCCAAATGACTTCTCACTAATGCGTCATAAAGGGCCCGAACTGCAGAGATATTAGTGAAATCTCGCGTTTGTCTCAATAAAAATCCTAGATTTCTATACGCCTTCTTACAAATTTTCATTATGTGCTCACGGAACAACAACTCGGGGGTCATGTAAACTCCCAAATCACGCACCTGTGTGACTCGTTGCAGTGGTGTATTTTCAAGCCTGTATTCATGTAGCAGAGGTGATCGCGCGCGAGTAAAACTTATCGTAGAACATTTTGACTCGTTAAAATACAGCTTGTTTTCATGACTCCATTGGACTATCCTATCAATGTCATCCTGTAAGCACTTGCAGTCTGTTTCCTTCGTAATTTCTAGGAGCAACTTTAAGTCATCTGCAAATAATAAACAAGAGCTATGTTTGACGACTTGTGGTAAATCATTTATCATAATTAAAAATTCGAGAGGCCCCAAATTACTGCCCTGGCTTACTCCCGATCTCGTGTAATAGGGATCCGATTCCCAACCATTGTAGTCGACAAACTGCTGCCTATCCTTCATGTAACTGGCAAAAAACCGAACTAACTGTGGCTTGCACCCAATCTCAACTAGCTTCCTTAATAAGATGTCATTATCGACGGTGTCAAATGCTTTTCTAAAATCAAAATAAGCGGCGTCAACCTGCACCCCAGCATCTACCGCTGGCACCAACCTTGTCATAAAGCTAAGGAGATTTGTTGCCGTGCTACGACCCGGTCTAAATCCGTGTTGTGAGTCCGAGATCTGTCCATGTATCTGTGCCTGTAAGCTACGCTGCACAGCTGACTCAAACACCTTAGCCGGGGATGACAACACTGCCACTGGTCTATACCCCTCAATCTAGACCTGCCTTACCTTTAGGTACTGGAATGACTCTGGTAATTTTCCAACGTGTCGGAAAAGTAGCTAAACTCAGGCATGTATTAAATATATACCGCAATGGTTCTGCTAGTACTCTGCTACAGTCTTTAACAAGAAAAGCTGGTATACCATCCGGACCCGCTGATCGCTTGGCTTTTAAACATTTAAGGGCATTGCGTACGTCCTTGACAGTAAGCCGCTCCACCTCCACATCTGTATTGTTCCCTTTCTCCGCCGCTGCTGACGCTGAAGCCTCTTGTGGATCCAGTCGTGGCGGATCAGTACTATATACAGATTCAAAAAAGGCAGCAAACTGCTGAGCGCATTCGCTATCCGATAGATATTTACGATCTTTAACAATGGGTCGTCTCGCCATTGCACCTCGCTGCGATCTTATAAACTGCCAAAACGACTTTGGGTCTTTAGCAAACTGACATTGAAGTTTACTTTTGTGTTGTAAGTAAGCAGTGTTTATTAATTTCTTAATATGCGATCTGAATTTAGAATAACTTGTATAATCTTTGTTACTATTGTTTTGTTTAAACCTTTTGTGAAGTGCTGCTTTTGTTTTTAACCCACTAATTATTTCGGTCGTATACCACACGGGATAAACATATTTTGATTTACTGCAATGTTTTTTTAGAGGGACACTTTCATCCAATACACTATAAATTTTATCATAAAAAATATCTAAAATATCTTCTAAATCCGTCATATCATACATATCGCTCCAGTCCGTTGAGCCCAACATTGAATATAACAATTCATAATCTGCTTTATAAAAGTTGTATTGTGACCCTTTGCTCCGTGTGTTTGAATAAGGCGCGCTATCGTTAGCGCCACCAGTGGCACACGGATCGGCGGCGGCGGCGCCCCCAACCGCGGACAACACCCCGTCGTCGCACGATAACCGCGGCGATAGCGGCGCGCGGCCGCCTATCTCAATGCCGACGGCCAGTGGCGGGTGGTACTCGTCCACCGGCAGTATGCCCTCGTCCGCCGCAGACACCGACACTGACACGAATGCCCTTGCGCTCAGTACGAGGTCTAACTGTCTGTTGTTGCAGTTTGGAACCGTATTAAACTGAGTGAATTCACAAAATGACATAAAATATTCAAAATAGTTAACAATTCCATTATTACACGAATGTAGATTAAAGTCTCCTAATAATATAAAATTATTTTTGTACTTAACACACCATTTTCTAAAATATTAAACATCAACATATACTCATTTTCATCTGTTAATGGTGGAATGTAAACAACACAACACGCAAATAAGAAACGGTTATTCACATAAATAGCAGTACAAACTAGTTCAAACTTACATTTATTGATGTCAACATCACCTGGCACAAACACTTGTCGCAGCTGGAACCTAGGTCCAGCCACCACCATTACACCTCCCTGCTTCCGGCCGTCCGCCCTGTCGCATCTCACTACCTGGTAACCAGGAAGTAAGAATTCGGCGTCTTGAATTGATTCGTTTAATCCAGATTCCGTAATAGCGAATAAATCCGACTCCGACGACCCCAGCAACGACAACAACTGTGTCGTCTTAGTGCGTAGCCCTCTGACGTTTTGGTACAGTAGGTTGACATGTCTACGCGGTTTGTAGTTTGTCTGGTTTGAGTGAGGGGCGAAACCAGATCCACTCACTGAATTCTACATTTAGTGGCCAAATATCTGGGTCACAAAGTTTTCCAAAATTACTAACTGTTACCCCCACTTTGAATGAGGCATAGTCACGATCCGTTCTAGGTTTAAGTTTTTCGACAATAACTTCTGAGTCATCGCCCAGTGTCAGTTTGATATGCTCCCTTAACTGATCTTCCGTTGTGGTTTTTTCCAGTCTCCACACATGTAAAAATTTTCTACGTTCTACCGCCTTTAAAGTAGCGATTGAGTTATTGCCACCTCTTCTTACAGGTTTCCTTTTGTTTTTAACTTCAATCCACTCATTATCAATGATGCAATTTACTTTTGGTGACGCTTCCTTCCGAGCCACCTCCGCGTAACTGGTCACCGCAGGACTCGGCACCGGCAGCGCAGCCGCCTGGACATTGTTATTGTTCATGCTTGGCAATTCTGGCGTGTTACCATCATATTTTGGAGGTGTGTGCGTTGGTACACTTGAAGACATTGTAGTACAAGTATCGATGTAACGTTTTACATTATTTTCTTTAGATAATAAACTCTCAGATCTCATACGTTTAATTTGCTGTTCATAAGCATTACATTTCTTATTCGCATCATTCAATTCCTGTCTGAGCTTACTATTTTCGACTGCCAGGACAGCTACTGTATTTTTAATTTCCTCTAGAATATTCAGTTCGAAAGCATTAAGTTTTGCCATGATTATGTTGCTTACTTTATCTACTAACTCATCCGATGCCGCGGATGCCTGTAACGTGGTCTGTACTCCATCCTCGGAGGACTGGTTCTGCTCCATGATATCTGATACCAAACCGACAGCGGCACTGACTCCGCGCACCGGTGTATCATCGGTAACTCGAATACGCTGGGTTACATTAGCGCACGATTGACATTTAAAAGCCCGCTTTAATTGTACTTGGGCTTCCCTAAATGCGGCCGTGGTAATATTGACACATTTATAGTGATAACAGGATTTACACCCAATACATTTAATCAAATCCCCTGCATCAATTTTTCGATTACAGGCTGCACAATTCATTGTAAATTCCAAGAATTCGACGACAGCACAGTGCGAGCGAGACACAGTTAGCTCACTCGCCCGAGAGTGAAAGAGCGCGCTGCGACAGTTTCGCGCCGCGCTTTGTTATTGTCACTAACTTCAAGGAACACAACACAAAATGTTTGGTTGGAAAAAGCGTCAAAAACACTCACTATCACTAATTTTATAATTGTTCTCCATAGTCTATGTTTACATTAACACAAAACATTAACTTTAACACAGTTTTTAGCATCCCACTCCGGATTATCGAATTAATATCAATAATATTCATACGAGTGACTTGCACTCCGCGCCGCGCCGGTAGTCAGAGTTATATTATAATGCACTTGATAAGAAAAACTCAAAAAATCAATTTAATAACTATAATATTCCTACTGTTTGTGTGTTAGTAATAAACTGATCAAATCTCAATCTATATAACTATATTCTTCTTTTTCTGTGTTGTTAAAGTAAAACATGATTTTTCATTAATATTTATTTATTTCAATTGTTCGTATTCTGGTCTTTATATTTATTCATTTATTTAAAGGCGTTGGTTGATCCAGCTGATGTAAGAGGTCACTCTAGCGAAAGCAGCTGGGTGACCACGCTGGCAGCCGGTAATATGACCGAAGGAGGTCACACCAATCTGAAAACAAATTGACATTAGAACCTTGATGTTCTGTATTCAAGGACTCAGGGCCGATTTTCCCAAAGAAAGTTAAATTTTATGTAAGAAATAATTTTGAGTATTTCACAAATCTTCCCAACTAAAGACTATTAAATGTCAATTTTATTCTACAGTTAAGAATTAATTGATGATAAAAAAATCGGCCCTTATAATTGATTACTCAATAATTATAATATAGTAGTAGTAATATAGTACATGCAAAATAATTTAAAGTAAAAACATTTATGTGATTAACACGTACCAAAATGCGTCTGTTGTTACTGTTTACGACAAGAGGACCGCCTGAGTCACCGCGGCAAGTGCTTTGGCCGGTGGCACCACTTGTGCAAATGTTAGAAGACTGAATAAGAAGGAAGGTGTTGCGGCACACAGCGTTCGAGATCACAGACAAGTTGACATGGTTCAAGGTCTCACTGACGGCTCCACCTGTAAATGTAGACCGACCAAATTAATTCTGACTGTACGGTTGCGGCGGTAGCTGGGCAACCGGCTGCCGCGCAACGTGTAGCGGGTTTGATTCCCACACGGAACAACTCTTTGTGTGATCGACAAATTGTTGTTTCGGGTCTGGGTGTGATGTGTGTGTGAACTTGTATGTTTGTAAACGAACCCACGACGCATGACAAATCCTAGAGTGGGGCAACGTATCCTAAAAAAAAAACACCTTAACAAAAAAATCTTGTATAACTCATTTTTTTATCAAATAAGTTTCCAGTGTGTAAGTTTTAAGGAAAATTGTTCGTAGTAGGCATTTCGTAAATCAATTATATTGTGAAATCTTTGAATGAATGAATATGAATTATAAATAAATTACTTTAAAATTTTAATATAGTTTCTTTACCATCTCTGGTGAGTCCAAATCCAGATGCAGTTGCGGTAGCGCCAACAAATTGATTGTTGAGCTCATTACCAGATGGAAGAGCGATGAAGCCAATACTGCCTATAATATTAATAAAATAATTTAAATTAATAAAGGGCATACTTTATCATAAAGTCATAAGAATACAGGTACCTTAAATTGAGGTAGGCATAATTCTTAAATGATTTTGTGTAACTCACTTGAAGTAGAAACTGCAGAAGGCAAGGTGATCATAGCAATGTCATTACGAATAAGGCTAGGCATCCAACTGCCGTGCATAGCGACATTAGTAGTATACACTCTAACGCCACCGCTGGACAGTCTGATCGAACCAAGGACAACTGTGAAACTTCTGGCTTGGTTTTCACCGTCGTTCCAACAGTGAGCAGCGGTAATTACTTTCCTTGAGTTAAGTAAAGAACCGCCGCAAACACTAGTCCAACCTGGCATTTCTATGAGAAGACCAGCCTGTAAAAGGAAAAACATAGTTCATTTGTATATTCTTTAATGCACCAATATTTTATAGCAAAGTTTTGCTATTCTAAACGCCAGATATAGTAGAAATATAATTACCTGGTAAGGAAATTGACCAAGTTGAGCTGAGGATCCTCCTACAATTCTGGACGGGTTAAAGGCAGCTTCTTCTTCAGCTTTGAAGATCTCCTTGGCCAACGGGCCCCCAACTTTAGAGTGGTAGCCATATGCAGTGAGTTCTTCAAGACTGATTACATCGTCCGCGTCAATGTTCCTCGCGGAGGAGCAAGCTACCAGAGCCAAAAGAAGCACAGCCAAGACCTTCATGTTGTTGCTAGATTAATTAATGTGTATGTTAGGAACAGATGGGGTTTATATAGTAGTTTGAAGATAGTGATAGTTGTCAGAATATCAGATAAAAGATAGGATTTTTTATAAATTAATCACTATTTATCTAAAGATAATTGCAGTACCTACAGTTTAGCAGGGATATGGGAATATCCCAAAATTTATTAAAATTGGGTTTTCGTAGGTTTGTCTGTATTTAATTGGTGGGCAATAGTTTCACAAATAATGTTTTAATTAATAAAAATGTATATTTATGTTAATAAGAGTAGATACAAATTTTCAGTAAAAATAAGGATATTTCTAAGATTTGGATATGGGCTCAGAAAATACAATACCTACTTAACAATATTCTCACTTGATCGCCTTTATGTTAGTCCTCTCTGACTTTCCTCAGGTAAAAATATTTAAGAGACATACTAGATGGTTAACTCTTGTACAAGGCTGAGGACCTGATAAACCCATACGATAAATTACTGTAATCAAGTCAAATTTGTGAAAAATTGAAATTATTTATTTATTTATTCACTAGTTTATGTACACAAGTAACAAAGACGAGACATAGGACAAAAAAATATTATTATTGTGTACTATTTAAAAAAAAACATTTTTTAAATAAAAAAAAACAATATGTAATTGTCTAGTTGAAGAATAATGTAAATAAATTTTCGCACCTAACCTCGTGTTCTTGGAATTAGAAACAATATTGAGACCAGACGCTTTTAATCAAACCTTTTTCTCATTTGCAGCGGTATCGATACCTCTGCGGCCAAAATTAAATGTCGTAAAGGACATTTGGGCAGAAAAATACACCGTTTTATTCGAAATTTATTTATATATATAATTTTTTTATTAAGTACAGAAAACTCAACGGCTTATTTAGTAAATGCTACATTTATAATAATGACAAGGCATGGAAACTTAAGCCAATAACAGCGTTTTTCAGCATGCGTCAGGTAAAAGCAGGAGAGTGAGCAATATAAAATAAAATCAAACAATCAAGGAAAATTTATATAAAGCAATGAGTAAGAAAAATAATAATGCTATAAGAGTCACATACTAGTGAGTATTTGTATAAGCGACTTACGAAAGGAAATTTAATTCGCTATCAATCTGTAACTATATTTAATTCTATAAAATTCTTAAAAAAAATGCCTTAATGACGTTAGAAATTTGATACAGTTGTCAAACATAACTGTGTTAGTTGGGACCTAAGTAAGATTTGAAATTTAAACTTTAAATGTTATGGTGGTAAGAAACATGTTACAATTTTTTTGGAAGTAAAATGGACATGTAATATTAATGGTTCTTTACGACCTCATTTTTTAAGCTAATCATAAAAAATAACTGGGGTATAAAGATTATTATCTGAACGAATTGTCCTTTAAACCCATATAGTATCTTAACAAATAAGACATACGTTTCATACGATATAATCTAATTTGGCACTATTAGTATTATTTATAGGTACTATTACTATTCTACATTGATATTAATTTTATTGTAATTTAAACTGCTGTTTACGCAATATTAAGTCAAAATTCTCCTGGGCTTAAAAGATCACAAAGCCCAAAATACGACTGTAACACCTTTCAGGAGAAGCAAATATATTAATTTTAAGGTATATTAATTTCAGTCAATATAAGTTCTGCGTTATATTTGTTTTTTAAAGTGCCTAAATTTTATTTATAGATTTTAAAAGAAATATTGCGGAATCACCTTAGATCCGTATTTACATACATTTCCTTTATTTATTTATTTTCAGTGAAAATCGTCCCATTGCAGGGCAAAGACCTCTCAACCCTTCTTCCGCTCCTCTCTATGTAAAGCTGTTTGCGACCAATCCTTGACATAGATGTCCAGTTCGTACCGACATCTCTTTTTGGGCCTGCCGCAACGTCTATTTACGTTCGGGCTCCGCGAACTCCAAATTTCCTTTACATTTACAAAATAATAATAAAATGTCCTTTACGATTCTAAAATATTTAATCAAGTCACCTTTTTAGGGTGTAATCTATACCTCTGTCAATGACAACGTTTATTTAGGCTGCCTACAAAACAAAGTATGTGAATGAAATAAAACAAGTATTTTGTAATCTTCTTACTGCAAAATCGTTTAATGAAAACGAATTTTTAACTAATGTCCTAACAAAATATAATTAAATCGTATTATTTTACGGATATTAGGTTATGGGTTTAGGGCACAGAATTCTAACCTATCAGTAGGTCGGTAACATATCAGTAATTATATAAATGATAATAGTCTTTTTGCTTTTTAGTTTTACCATTTGTTTATTTTAAGTTCTTAGTTTTTGAAATCGAGTTCTTTTCTGGTTCATTGTTGTGCTTTGTTTTCGTAAAATGCGGGTACGGCCAAGTAGTAACCCGTTTTTTTTACAATATAATTAATAATTTCTTTTCCTTGTGTCATATTGTTGGAAAGTGTGTTAGCTAAGGAATTTGTTTAAATAAAACTAAGTTCAAAATGGCTTTTAGTTTTTTTTACAATTAATTTAGATGTTGAAAAATTTCAGCCGTATTAATGAAACAATAAACTTTGAAAGCTTGTAAACATTTTTTTGAACCATTTATGATAAATAAAAATATATTTAGATTTTAGACTTAATAGACTTTGGAGTATACATCAAAATATTTACTAATAAAAAGTTATTTCGAGTTAAGGGAAACATTTTGAGTTTTTTTTATATAAATAAAAAAATCCGAAGACAATGACAAAGGAATTTTGGGTATAGGTATAAAGTAGCATTTACCTACCAAGGATTTTCCTGAATTGTGTCTGATTCTCCCGAGATATCTTATATGGTGAATCCTCTACTCACATTTGCTCTAGAACTTAAAAGTACCTATCTACATGTAGAGCCCATATGCATAGGCAAAACCCTAACCCTGAAATTGCTATTAATAGGCACTATTAGATTATTTGTTTTCGTTTGCGTATAAACATGAGATTCACTTTAAAACGTATTCACTTTAAAACGTATTTATTTTATTACTTTTAGTATTAATTTGCAATAATACCCCTCTAAATATGACTATTTCAATGTTTAAGGATTTTATTACATTGTACATTGGCATTAAATAATATGCACTTCTACCCAACTCTATCCCTTCGGGGACAAAGGAGTAATATTATGTTATGTTTATTACCTACTTGAACTAATAACGCTTTTAATTTTTTTACTAACTAATATGCAGTTAGGCCTTACTACAAAATATTAACTACGACCGAAAAAACACCCTGTATACTTTATTATAAAATAAATGGTAAACCCAAAAATTCCAATAGATAAAGATAATATTGACATGACATTTGTCAGTATCTATCTATTATTACATTAAATATCTATGTTACATGTGCGTACTATATTATTTTTTGGAAATACCCGTGAATTACCCATACGATGCGATCTACATATATATAAAGGAACGGCATTCTTAAAACATAGTTTGTAATACTAAGAATTTCATTGTAAACAGTGGCTTCTGGATCGCTTACCTACCTTACAATTGAGTGACGTACAGTCATATTACTTAGATCGGGATTATCTTTTATAGAATTATGTAGGATGAAACCCATATTCTCTATATCACAGAAAATCGAATAATCATGAACTATACCAATTAACTTAATTCTGCTAAGTTTTAAAATGTAATCAATTTAAAAAAAAATATTAATATAAAAAAAATATATTATTCCATTTATTAAAACATAACAACAAGAAATAAGCTTATAATATAAATAAAAATAAATAAATAAAATAAAATAAATAAATTGAACTTAACTTAACTTTTGAACTTAATTGAAATGCTAAGTTTTATTCCGCATAGGAATGCCAAATCTATCAAGTCGTGTCTCTATCCTAATGAGAGGTTAACACTTGAAAGTTTTGAATCGTTCAAATTCCAATCCTTTATTTTTTATTTTAAATATACACCTCCATTTTTTCCCGTAATAACATATTCTGATTGATTTCGTAGCGGGATCTAAGATAGTTATTTTATATACAGTTAGATCATTCATGTCCTTGGGACGCGCTGATTCGACGACTTTAGTGTTCCGCTGTTTTCATGGTTGTTTTCTACTGTAAATCCTGGCTTACAGGAGTTGCAAGCCAATAACAAATACACCCAATAAAATGTATTGCTTATTCCAAGTGATGAGAATACTATCAATTGTGTTATGAAAAAACATTCGAAATAGGTGTTCAAAAGACCAATAGTTGATGGGCGATGATAGTGCTTGAGTGGTCTTTTTTTACTTTTAAAAAGCTACATTAACTTCTGATTGCTATGGTCCTAATTTATTATTTGACAATGTCAGAGGTATTTAAAATATTAACTAAAAACAACTCAATGTCTTAGGATTTATGCCTTAGTTCTACGATTCTGTTCGTCTAAACAAAACGTAGGTATTCATAATGACATCGATATGATTATTTTACCAATACCAGGCTAGATAGTGGTCGAACGTCAGCCCTTCAAATATAAAAAGGTACATTTTTGGTTAGGTATAGATTTTATCACATCAATGCTAATCTTAGAAAAGAAAAATATAAATATGTACTAAAACTTTTTTGTTTTGGGCAAAATACGTTAATTTCACAGATTTTGTAACTTGCTCTCATTTGTAAAAATAGCCTACATTGGTTTCATATCTGGTAATGTAATCAACAACTAGTTTGCTAGATTTGCTGGTACCTGCTTCTATTTCTTTAAGAGACAGACAGACGGAATTCCGTCCGATTTGTAACTTAATCTGGTTATCTAACTAGTCGGCAATATTTAATATTGACATGTGTGTAAAATTAACTGTTTTTTTTTAATATTTATATGAGTCAACGTTTTTAAAAAACAAAATGGATATCAAATTCGAAATTTCTCATCTAGGATTCTATTTTTGATCATGAATCAAACACTTGACTAAAGAGATGATAAAATAATATCGAAAATATATCAGATATGCAAAAAAGGGGATTAAATAAAATCAAAAAATAGAATGAAAAAAAAATATATAATTATTCCTATTTTTTACAGGTTTTGGTTAATCCAGCTGATGAAAGAGGTGACCCTAGCGAAGGCAGCAGGGTTACCACTCTGGCAACCGTCCCAATGTCCGAACGAGGTCACACCGATCTGTAAATTAAAATATCAGTAATAAAATTAAAGGGCAAAGCTTAAAGTTCCTTTTAACCAACGAGTATGAGTAGTTTGATTTCGGTTCAACACAATTCGATAAAACCTTGTAGTGAATTAGCATTGTAGTGAAGTTATAAAAAATGTAACTGAGAATCAAAAGACAATGAAAGTTCGTTGTTTGTTACGTATGTAGTCGTTTTTGAATACTCACCAAGATACGCCTGTTGTTGCTGGTGACGACAAGAGGACCACCGGAGTCACCATGGCACACTCCTCTACCACCAGCACCACTGGTGCAAACGTTGGAAGGCTGGACGTACCAGAACAAACTGTTACTGCATACAGCGTTTGTGATCACTGGCAAGTTGACGTGGTTCAGGGTCGGGCTCACACTTCCACCTGAAACACAATTTATATTGGAGAATTACTTATTTGCTGTATATTTTTATAATTGAAAAATACAAAAATGATGTAGAATCAAGCTATACCTCTTCGGAAAGGTCTGTATGCACCTGTATGTAATTATTTACAATTGTGAATCATATTTTAGTATTACTATAGTAGTTGGTAGTATTAGTACAAGTCAAACTTTACACATTTTTGAGAAAAGTGTTATTGATTAAAATTATTAAAATATTTAAATGTATGATAGTTTTTATGCCGATGGCTTCCTTACCGTCTCTAGTGTAACCGAATCCGGACGCTGTTGCAGTAAAACCGGCGAACTGGTTGTTAAGCTCAGTGCCAGATGGCAGAGCAATTGGAAGAATGTTGTCTGTAAATAAGATATTTTTTTGTTATTTAAAATACAAAACAACTTTACACTACGTAAAACAATAATTGATTTGGGATTTTTTTGTCCCACGTCGAAGATTTACTTTTTGTAAAAGTATTATAATTATTGATAACGTTTCATCTTATCTTGTGTTCCATTTTACGTACTAACCTTGAATAGCGATTATTATTTATTTGATTTACCCACTCAATTAACAGAATTTTCTCTAAAATGTAGGATTGCAATTAAATAAAAAATATGCTTCATTATTAATTTTTAAATACTCACTTGAGGTTGACACAGCAGAAGGGAGAGTGATCATAGCAATGTCATTTCGGACAAGGCTTGGTGTCCAGTTTGGATGCATAACAACATTGGAGGAAGACAGTCTTACACCACCGCTGTAGAGATTGATGGAACCAACGACAACGGTGAAACTTCTGGCTTGATATTGACCGTCAAACCAGCAATGAGCAGCAGTAATCACTTTCCTTGTATTTACTAAAGAACCACCGCAAGCGCTGGTCCAGAGTGGCAAAATAATTATGAGACCAGCCTGTAAAATAATATTTTATTGTTAGAGCGTAAATCTCAAACTTTGGGCTTAACAGTAGTTACTGCAACACTAAGACATAATAATATATTTTTGTATACACGTTAAATAAAGTGCTTACCTGGTAGGGAAATTGACCGAGCTGAGCTGAAGAACCTCCCACAATTCTAGATGGGTTAATTGCAGCTTCTTCCTCAGCTACACGGATCTTTTCGGCCAATGGAGCACCAATTTTTTCATGATATCCAAATACTGAGTTGGCTTCTATATCGATCACATTTTCAAAATCGATGTTCCTAGCAGCGGATACCGCTACCAGAGCCAATAACGCCACAGCCAGAAGTTTCATTTTGCTGATATCAAAAAATAAATGTGTTCTTTAATTACAGTTTTTATTTATATACTTATTTTTCAAGATATGAACAGTTAATCGCTACGTATCTTAAGATTATTATTCCGTGAACTCTGAGACCAGCAAATTATGTATTGGTAAAGGTATCACGATAAGGTTACATTAAATAATTATTTATTCATGCTGGTAATGGTAATAACATTAGAAGCCATCTTCGATACAGGTTGGTAGACAAACCGGTAGAACAGGTAAAAACAATCACGGTTTCAAAAATTTTGCAAACCCTAAAGACGATCAATATTTTTTTTTTTATAGCATAAGCCGGTAAACGACCAGACGGATCACCTGATGTAAGCAATCGGCACCGCCTATGGACACCCGAAATACTAAGGCGTTACAAGTGCGTTACTGGCCTTCTGGGAATTGGGAATTTGAGGATTGTGGAGGATTCGGGCCTCCGGTAACCTCACTCACACGAAAAACTCAACGCAAGCGTTGTTTTACGTCAGTTTTCTGTGAGGCCGTGGTATCACTATGGTCGAGCCGACCCATTCGTACCGAAGCATGGCTCTACCACACTTATTATATGTTTATTTTGGAAGTATTAACAATGGAAACATTATATTCAACTGTTGTCCAATCTAGAGTCAACACAGATTTGACAATAGAACCAGAACAATTAATACCTGCGGTTATAATAGTATGAACCGGAGATTTATGACGCCCGCTTCTCTTGCATGAGGGCGCGGGTTCGATACCTACCAACTTTTTCTGAGTTATTATATACTTTCTAAGATTAATTAGACACCATTGGCATTATACTCGAAATGTTTTTTCAAAATCAACAGATATTTATAGTTATGTAATATGTATACATGGAAACGAATAGAAGAATTTGATTTAACAGTTTAAATGGAAAAAAAAATTTATTAGTTTGTTAAAAATGATTTATGAAGTTAATATTGTGATAAATACTCATAATATCTAATTATAAATTGATAATAACTGCACTATAATCGTATGAGTACAAATTATTCTAGCTTAATTATATCAAATCAAATGATAAGAAGTACACTGATATGAAGGGTGTGGTTCATATCCCCACAGGGTCGAGCAAAGTACACATTGTTTTGATGTCCAGGTACTCACCATACATATAGGACATACGAACATAACTCTTCTGTTGCTTAAATCGAACCTGCAACGCGTTGCATGGTTGGCTACCGTTATCAGAACTCTTAGGGCCCATTTTTCAATCATCAGTTAATTCTTAACTGTAGAATAAAATTGACATTTGACATTTTTTTATATGTATTTATATATGTAATTGGGCTTCAGGTTACCTCATTCACACGACGAAACACAACGCAAGCGTTGCGTTGTTTTCTGATTTCACGTCGGTTTTTTGTGAGGCCGTGGTATCACTCTGGTCGAGCCGACCCAAAGCATGGCTCTCCCATACTTAAAAGTTTAATCATGCATTTGCAAGCAGTAATCATGCATTGTTTATACCCTGCCTGTTTGGTGGTCGAGTGATCATAATCAGTTTTAAGATTAAGGTTGTAAGGTTTTATAGTTTTTTCGAAAATAAAAAATCATACCTTCGTGGAACATGGAATTTTGCCTGATAGTATTAGGCTTACCTATTACAAGAGACTCGTAACACAACTGGCAAAAGGTACATGTTACATTGTAAATTTTTGGCTATTTAATACATTTTTGGAATTAAAAAGTATGATATTACCTCTATATGTCGGTGTATACAAAACGGCCTTGTAATTGGTTTTTTCAGTTAAGGTTTATCAATAAGTAATATCAACTCTCTACATAATCTTGTGCATTTATCCTTTATATATATTAGTTATGATATTTTTTATGACGAGATAATTAGATTAACGGTAACAGTATAATACTGATAAAAGTAAACTAATTTCAAAAAAACAACTAAAGAAACAGGTCACCTATACCTCTATATAACTTCTCAGGAACGCGACGCATAACACGTGCTACGCTAGTTCGTAGCACAGTGCTACGAACGTAGCACTTCTGCTACGCAGCTAGGTATGTAATTATTTCCGGCAAAAAGAGTCTTTTGAATAATAATTGATTGCTCATTGAACGTATTTTACGCATATGTCAGTAATCGAGATCGATTGGGGGGTAAATACCACTATCAATTGGGTTTTTTTTATTAGTCAAAACTGAATTTTGATAAAAATGTTGCGTCTATGCTATTTTATTAGTTTTACCATAAAAATATTAATTATTTAAAATGCGCGAACGGATAACATTCCAAAAATTTTATTCAAAAAGTATTTATTAATATGCAAGCAGTAAATAAAAGTATTATCTGTTCAAGAAAAAGTATTTATTCGACAATAAGCAAGCACGCGACACAGGTACGAAGATAAAAAAAAACAGAATAAAACATTATCTGTTCACTAGAATATTGATATTCATACATACATAACCTCACGCCTGTCTCCCATGGGGGGTGGTAGAAACCTTGGAACGTCAATTGCTACGATTCTTACATACCTCACTATTGATAATCACTGTAACCAAATAAAATAAACTTATAAATACGTGTATTTTTGTATGTGTGTGTGTTTACATATATGCCCATGTCTTGCTCCGAAAGATAATACTCAAGCAAAGCACCTACTGGTATCTCAAACTCAAGGCCAGTGACAGTCTCCTAGTAAACAATGAGCTTCCTCTACATAAGAGGGTTTGATAATAATCTTTACGTTTGCAGGTTTTTTTAATGAGGATAAGCCGGTAAGCAATCAGCACCGCCCCTAAACACCCAAAACATCAGAGGCGTTACAAGTGCGTCACCGATCTTTTGGAGGTTAGGAATTTGAGGATAGTTAGTGTTTCAGGGATTGAGAATAGGGTGATTGGGCGTCCGGTAACTTCATTCACTCGACGAAACAAAATGCAATCGTTGTTCCATGTCGGTTATCTGTGAGGCTGGTTTGGAGATTGAAGTTTAATAGGTTCAGAATACATTCTATTCCGTTGTCATTACAGTCTATTTTGATTGACCACTTGATTACCGTTCCGGCACCCTGTTACGTGGACTTATTTAGTGGGTTAAAGAAATTATAGTATATATTAATTATATTAAGAGTGTAAGGTAAGTTAGTCCCCTATACGGAGCCGCGGAAGACCTAAAGTCCTAACGGATTGCCGGGGCTCTGGCTCGTAGAGAAAAAGTAGGATCGGGGTGGTTTTTAGTCTGTAAAAGTAAAGTAAAACTGAAAAGGGTAAGTTAGGCATTCGTTCTACAATGTACATACAAATTTTTGTTTTTTTTTTTTGAATAAGCTGGTAAACGAGCAGACGGAACACCTGATGGTAAGCAATCGGCGTCGCCCATGAACACCTAGAACACCAGAGGCGTTATGACGATTGTTGGGGATTCAGGGATTAGGGAGATTGGGGCAGGAGGGGGGGGATTGTGCCTCCGGTACCTTCACTCACACGACAAAACACAATGCAAGCGTTGTTTCACAGGTTTTCTGTGAGGCTCTGGTATCACTCCGGTCGAGCCGAAGCATGGCTCTGCCACATTTATTATAAAATTACCATTCTATACAATTTCTTTCAATTGATGATCATAGTAAGACGCACTTATATTTGAAGAATGCCAAACTTGCTAAACTCGGCAAATGACATCAACATTGAGTCATATGTACATATACAGTATGTTAGTATGCTCTGCAATTAAAATTCAGTTCAAACTCTGGGACTGATTTTAATGATTTGTCATTAGGTAGTTATAATCATCTACATAGAACGTTCATAATTATATCATTAATAGAAGACGCGTATGCTCTACTGCAATGCGGTTTTGAAATGTTAAAAACTGATATAGTTTAAATTTCTATCACAATACTAGTAGCGGCATCTCTTATGCTACGAATGAACGACTTTAAGTATTACAGTGCATTTAGTATGTAAGTTATAAAAATCATTTAAAAGTTGTATAATATTATCACTTATCCAGATATGAATCATAAACCTACCATTGGGTTTTTATATTAATAATTGATAGATTTCTACAGACTTATTTCTTAGACCTAACCATTCGAATTTAGTAAGAAAGTTTCGGTTTCAAAAAATAACGGGACAGTATTATTTTGCAATATTTTTATATTTCCATTTATAAATAATTTATGTACATGTTATTTACAAGTCAATTACTAATTAACAAATAAGTTAAAGGTGTTGATTGAAGAAGTCCATGAACGACGTCACACGAGCATAGGCGGCGGGCATGCTGGACTCGCAACCAAGAGGAGAACCAAAAGAGGTGATACCAACCTGTATATAGGAAAAATAGACATAAATAGGAACCTTCAACGTGATCTCTTTATTGGAAATTAAGCCTACAGTCATTATTAGTTTCATTCAAAATCTCTATTAAGATAACTTTTAATATTTTTGTTCAGGTAAACGATACCTGAAATCTTTACATTAATTTATTATCCAGTATTTGTGTATTTGTTATATAAGATTATATACACAAATACACGGGCAATATTGTAATTAAAGAAAAAAAAAATTATAGACAAAATAAGAATACGTACCAAAAGAGGCTGGCCGTTCCTGTTAACCACCAAAGGACCACCAGAGTCTCCTTGGCATGTGCCAGGACCACCGATACCGCTGGTGCAGATGTTTGAAGAGTGCAGGACCAGAGGGAAGGCGTAACGGCAAACAGAGTTGGTGATGATGCTCAAACTAACGTGGCTCAAAACTTGGCTGGATGTGATGTTAATGTCTGAAAAAATAAGTTAGTTACACATTATTGTCCAGAATTACGAACTGTAACATAACAGTTTAAATAAAGGATAAAGTAAAGTTTATATTTCTTGGTCCACACTTTTTAATTTTGTGGTCTGTTATGGAGTAACATTTTAAAATAATATGTACTCACTGTCGCCAATTTTGCCGAAACCAGAGGCAATTGCAGTTTCTCCAACAAA